CCATGATGGTCTATTTCTACTGAAAGGGAGCATGCAGACTGCTAACTAAGTACTGTAAGCACCTCATACAACCCCAGTTCAAAACTATCCATTTATCACTGCAGGCCAGGGGGGTTATGCTTCTGCTTGTGTACAACATTGGATAAGGGAACGGCCTAACAAAGGGCCCATTGTTCAGCTTTATTAAAAACACTGAGTGTGGCTTCCCTTCTAATATCTGCATCATCATGAAAGGAACAAGATACAGAGGACACTGGCTCAGGAAAATACCCTCGCAGTCACAACACCAAGTATTTCAAAATAAAAGACAGAACACATAAGCTAATCAAACTACAAATGACATCATGAGTAGAGCCGTAATGAGTGCACTGACTGAGACGAAAGGCAGTGATTAGGCTGCTGGACTCCAAGCAGCTAAGTACTTCCTACTGAATTATCTTCACGTTGATATGCTCAGCGAAGACAGCGGCTAACTTTAGCAACAGAGGAAATGGGAGGGAAAAGCATATGTCGTCGGGGTCAAAAAGGCAAAAACAGAGGAACGTGGTTAGTTAGCCTTGTCGTTTCTTAAGATAGAAGGAATGACAATTACAGTGCAGAAGGAAGGACGTAGCTTAATAGGCACAGCGGGGTCACTTAACAGTTAAAAGCAGGATAAATATTTTGAACGTTCACACTGCTGCTTGATAGAAAGTGGGAAGATAAGCCAAAAGCCACTTCAACATCACTTTTAAAGATGTTGCGTTCAAGATGAAATGATCCCACAAGAAGTAGAGGGAATATGAGAGGAAGAAAAGGCCTGTACCTTTTGCTCAAAGGACTGAAAAACGGATTTAGAAATGTCCCCACATGGTTTTTAAACTTCTTATGCAGCGATTTACAGTTGATCTCAAATCGGAAACCGTAAGAATGCTCTAGGGTGTGTGTTTTATATGCATCAAATGTAAAAAAGTAATCTAAGGTGTATAAAGTGGTTTCAGAGGTGCATGGTCCTTGCCGGTCCATTAGCAAAGAGAAACCATAAGTTATCCCTTTGAGGACAACCATGCTACTTCCTGGCACGGGCAAGCAAATAATGATTTCTTTTGGGAGAGAAATCAAAGCAAAACCCAGAAGTCTGATCACACTGATGCATTTCATTTGTACTAGCCAGAATGTCCATTGTGTACCTGCTGCTTTTTGCATTTACTCTCAAAAGCTGAAATATTCCCATTTTTTCCAGATGTTGCCCTGTGTTCCTCCTGCTCGGCTCGTCTCTGATGAACTGGAGACGTTGGACTCGGCTACTGAAGGAGAAGGAGCCAAAAGGCAGCAGCCATTACTTTTCCAGCCCCTGTCCTTTCTAAAAAAACAGCAGGCAGGAATAGCCTGAGGTCAGAGTCCCCCCCTACTCTGTCTGACAATTAGACACAAGGAGACAAAAACATTGTCATGAGGGCCATGATTTATTCCTCTCTCGAGGGCTTCCCTTGCTTTAACCACTTCCTGTCACTGGGACTCCTCTTCCTGGCCTGAAAGATTAGACCACACTGGATGAAAGGTTTAACCATTCACACGAGTTTTAATGCGGAAAAAAGGTGTATACTGTATATTATTATTCATTGTTGAGTTACTTGTTCTCTAGTCTGCACTCGTTTGATGCGTTTACAATACATGTTCTTTTAAAAAATGTTTTGCAGGTGGAGCTCATTTTTCCTTTATATACTGCTAGGTTGCTAACATAAAATATTGCTGTTTAACAGTTTATTCAAATATGTATTAAAAAAAGGGAAATGTACAAAGTAACTTAAGATGCCATGTAAATGTAGAGGGATAACAAGTATAATAATAACCTTTGAGAAGTAGTGGGTGTTTAGAAAGTAGGAGGGAATATAAATAATCAAGTGAAGTACAAGTACTGCAAAATTGTATTTAAGTACAGTAGTTCAGTAGATGTACTTAGTTAACTTCCATCAATGCATGTATATGATGATGATAACAACAACTATAAATCAAAATGTACAGTTAATATACTCAGATTGTTTGAATTTAGTTTAATGAAATATACAAGATATGCATCATTTCTGTGAGTTCCTCTGATCCCTGTGACTCAGCAGCCACCTTTATACTGGCTTGGGAAACATTTGAGAAGGCAAACCTGAAGTAATGTGATCCACACACACACACACACACACACACACACA